AATGAACCCGTTTCCAGGGCTCTCTGTTCTCATCTCCACCCACATCCTCCTTCCTCCTGCGTGCTGGGCGCAGCTCCTCTGAAAGTCACCTCCCTCCTCACGCTTCCTTCCAGGGAGACTCCTGAGCCTCCGAGTCTGACCTTGCTGGTGGCAGTGAGAGACAATGAAGGCCGCGGCCTCTCACCTCGCAGGAGGTAGCTCCCCTGCCTAAGGATCTGCTCTGGCCAGATGGGCAGAGCCTGCCCTGGCTGTGGGCTGGTGCTGGGGGCGTAAGCAGACAGGTGCGCAGGGCTTGCCTTCACTGTCTGGAAATCACTTCGACCGGTTGTCATAGGTGATCCCTGTGAGATGGGTTAGTCTCTCCATCCATCAGATGAGTTGCCCAAGGTCACAGTTAGCAAGCTCTAGAGCTAGATAGAGATCAGAGCTCCTGTGCCGGGATTCCATGCCCCTCCACGATGCACAGGCACCCGTTAAAAGGAAGACACGTCTAGTGAAGGGGTGGGCAAGGCCTAGGAGCAGAAAAGTCACAGAATAATGACAATAGTCCCCCAGCTCTGCTAATCAAAGAGATAAAAATAAGACACATGGTTATTCTTCTGCCAAACTGGCCAAGCTTTTTACAAATTAGAATTCATAACACTGACAAGCATATACAGAGCCCGATACTTGCACGCTCTGCTGACAGGGTCGTCCCTATCGGTTTAACCTTTCTGAAAAGCAACCTAGTAAGATGTAGGCGAGGTCTTTATAAAGCTGATACCTTTGATGAAACTCTGGAACTAGATTATGGCGACGCTTGCTCAACATTGTGAAGGTACTAAACGCCACTGAACTGTACTATGTTTTAAAATGGTTAAAATGGGGCATGGTGGCTCATGCCTATAATCCCAGTGCTTTGGAAGGCCTGGGCAATATAGCAAGACCCTGTCTCTAAAAATAAATCAATCAATAAAAATTGAAAATAAAAAAATTCTAGGACACCAGTTCTTGAAAAAATAAATAAGATAAAATAGTTAAAATGATAACTTTTATGTTATATGTTTTTTAACACAATTTTTTTCAAATGCCATTTCACCTAGTCATTCCACTCTGGCCGTCTGGCCTGGGGAAACAGTCCATGGACCTAAGCCTGTCACAGCACTATTGATGTCAGGGAATCGGAAACAATATAAATGTGCAAAAGTAGGGATGTGGATAAACTCAATAGAGTACATTCACATTGTGGAATCCTATGCACCTATTAAAGGCATGTCTTCAAATAATTTTAATGACACAGGGAAAGATTTAAATGTTAAGTGAAGAAAGCAGGACATAGTTTGATCTCTGCTTTGTGATAGAGATGTCTTTATTGGCATATATACAAATATAGGTTGCAGATATACTTGCAATAATACCAAAGATATTTTCAGGTCGTTCATGGTCCTCCCCGGATAAATCGGGCCCCTGCTCGCAGCCCCGCCCTCTCTGAGGTCTCCAGAATGAAGGTGAGTGAGAGAAACGTGCTAACTCTGACAGTCAGGACTACAGGATCTCATCTGTGAATGCTGTTTTCGTAAAAAATAACACCAAGGAGCAGAATAATCAGAGTATTACCAGCAGGTGGTGTTTATAAAGTTTTTATTTTCCATTTTCTTAAAAATAACATTTGATTCCTTTATGCATGTGTGGAGTGTACTTGTTTCCTTAGGCTGAGTAATAGGCAGAGAAAGACAACACGAGGCGGGGTCCCCAGGTGGAGGCGGGGGTGGGGCGTGAGGGGTGGGGGTGCGGGGGAGAAGGGAGAGGTGGGTGACCCGCGGGACGCTTGAGTGCCCATCGACGCACGCACACGGTCTAACACTTTGTTTTTCGATTTTTTTTTTAAAGACATCTAAAATTACTGAGAGATACGACTTCAGCACTTAAATCTACAGACGGAAATCCAAGCACTTGAACACAATTCTTAACTCTAAGCTCAGTTATTGCACGTCACACAGTTTAAGTAGGCTTCAGGCTAGAAAGCAGTTGCTCTGCTTGGGACTTCCTCAGGGTGGCTCCAGCCTCCTCTTGCACCCAGTGTCTCTTCCCTGGGGCTCCCACCGGCCTGCAGCCTCGCAATGACCCTGGGTGTCAAAGATCCAGCCAGCCATTCCTTCTCCCCAAGGGCTGAGGGCTCAGGCTTTGGTGAAGCGGAGGCTTCCCGCATGGATGCCAATGGTCCCCACCCACTCGGGGTGAAGTTGGAAGCGCACGAGCTCGGGAGGCCGAGTGGGAGGCCGGTCCGCTGAAACGAGGCAGGCTGCAGGGAGCAAGTGTGCCCACCTCCACGTGCAGTCGCAGCCCAGTGGAACCCCAGGGGCAGCCAAGATGGCCTGTCCCGCTCCCATCCTCTCGGCCTCCTGCCTGCACTCCCCAGGCCTCCATCCCCATCACCCTTGGCCCCTCTCTGAGTGGTCTCTCAAGGCACATTTATTTTTTCCACCCCAACGCACCCAATCTTAGACATTTACCTCTCCCAGCACCCAGGGGCCAAGGGGCGTAGCAGGGCCAAGGGCAGCTCCAGGGCCAGGCGAGAAACCGTCCTTTCAAAATTTGGTTGAGCCCCTCTCAAGCAGCCCTAATTCCCCTGCCTGCCTAAGCCAGGGGAGAGGGCCAGGAAGGAGCGAAGGCATCCGGGGAGGGGGCAAGTGGGGCTGGGTGGCAGGCATCTTGGTCATGGGCACTAGGAGCCGAGGAAGGGCCAACCTGCAACCTCGCTCCCGAGGAAACCTTCAGCTTGTCTAACAGGAAGTCACTTGGAGGCCTTCAGCCCCAATGGGACAGCTACTTTTGTCTACCTTTGGGGGGACCCCAGTCTCAGTGGGGTGAAAAGCAGTGTGGGGTTCAGAGAGAGGCAAGGCTGGACTCTGCAGTCCCGCCAGGGGCCAGTTCAACGCCTTTTGCTTTCTTCCTAAAACATATTTACAAGGTCAGACAAACGTGCACAACCAGAAGACCCGGAGACACAGAGAGCACACACCCCCCAGGAGGGGAGGGCAACAGCAAGAGGAGGGGGACGCCCCTTCCTCTGAGCCCCCTCCCCCAAAGCCCCCCAGCATCCTCAACAGCAGCCCCCCAGAAGGACAGTTCCAGAAGCCCAGCTGGGGCAGAGGGAAGAGACAGACTCCGATCCCAGTGCGAGCAGGAAGTTTCAAGTAGCTCCCAGTCAGAGGAGCGGCTGCGGCTACCCTACACGGACAGCAGAGGGCCGAGGTGGGACAGCATCTCCCTGAACTGAGCCAGGGGCCAGAGGAAGGCAGTGGAGGACAGAGAAGGGACAGGAGGAAGAAGGGGACTAGGGGATCTGAAACGGTGCGACACCTCAACGATCAGAACTGTGCTGCGGAATGGGAAGCGGTTCACGGGGCTAAGAGGAGTTTTGTTATTTCCCCAGGAAGGACTTGGATGGCGTTGCTTCCAGGGTGGAGGGCAGGGCGGACAGGGTGAGGCTCCTCTGTAAAGCCAGCAGAGCTCTGAGGGTGCTGGGAGGGGCTGGGGGAGCCCGGCGGGGAGCCTCCCCACATTGACCCTGCACCCCACAGGCCACCCAGCGCACAGGGCCCTCCTCACACTCCCAGGCCACCTGGATGGCCACCAGGTTCACACACGCATGCACACACATGCACACGCACACAGACACACGCACGTGCACACGCAAACACACGCACACACATGCACACAGACACACATGCATACACATGCACACAGACACACACACACACACGCACACACATGCACACAGACACACACACACTGCACTCGCCATGCACGTAAGGGCATCAGAGGCCCAAGTCTGGTAAGAAATTCTTCACCAAAGGTGTTAAGGAATTTGCTTCAATAGGGAAGAACTGGACAGCTTAGGGAAAACAACAACAAACAAAACCCACGGGACGTCTTCTCATCTGGTAAGATGAGCTCCCACCTGGTAGGAGACTTGGGGTAACAGTGAGGTGTGGCCTCAGAGCCTGGCTGCGCCAGTCCTGTCCCCTCTGACAACTCCCACACACTATGACTCCCGCTGGGGCAGCCCTAGGGGACCCTCAGAGGGGGCAGAGGGGAACCCCAGGGACTGAGAGGAGTGGGGCTGGGAATGTACCAAGGGACAGGAAAGTTGGTCTCAGGGTAGGAAGATGGCAGCTTCCAGCAGCTTCTCCTTTATAGGGTCTCAGGGACAAGTCTTTCTATCGGTCTGGGCAGGTGGGGAGCCTTGAGTTAGGGGGTCAGGGAGGAGGTGGGCACACACACACCCCTGGCCGAGACCCAGGCCCCTCAGCCTGGTCCTCAGGCTCCCTGGGGTGGAGAAGGAGACCCCAGCAAGGGAGATGGAGGCAGAAGCAGCACCCCCTGGGCCACCAAGAGGGAGCCAGGCAGAGCTTGCAAAACCATCCACCAACCAGAGAGCTGTCCAGACCAGAGACACACATGAGACCCACAGAAGGGGCCAGGCTATTCCGGGCTCTGGCATTCAGGGCTGCCCATCTCCACTCCTAGGAGCTCTCCCAGGATCTGCAACTGCAGATTCCCCTGCTCCCCCACCCGCACCAATGGCAAGAACCTTGGATAACCAGTCCCCTCCCCTGCCTCTCAGCTTCTGCCCCCAGCTCCTTCTCGGCCACCTTTGGTCCCTCTGGCCAGAGTTAGGAGAGTTTCTCTAGTGCTTGGAGATTTGGCAAAGGAATGGGGCTGGCTGTGGCCAGGTGTCCTGGCCCGTCTCATCTGAAGCTGGTGGGGGTGTCACACCAAATCGGCCCAGTTTTGGAAGGACCCCCAGCCAGTAGACAGCTCCCTGGCCTCCCTCCCCTCTGCCATGGGGACAAGCCCGCAGGCCAGAGCCTGACCCCGAAGGGAGATGGGGAGGGTAGCAGGGGTGGGGGTGGCAGGGCTGGGTGAGCCAGGGTAGTAATGGATCCCAGGGTGGCAGGGCTGGGCTGGGGCACACGGCTAGAGGGCATCTCATTCATTCCGTCAACCTGCCGACGTGTGTATGTGTGTGAATGTGTGTGTTTTAAGACCAACAACAAATGGGAAGAAAATAGCTACAAGGAGGACGAAGGGGCCTTTGGGTGACTCACTCTGCCGGGAGCAGCGTGGATCAAGGACACGTTTGTCAGCGCACGCCACACGCACACACACTCATCCGTGCCAGCCACACGTGCCACACGCGCGCCATGCACACTCACACCTCCAGTCCTCCCAGTTGGAGCCAGGGTCCTTCTGATTGCATTTTCCGGATCCATTCGCCAGGCTGCCCGCTTCTGCTCAGGTCCCCGCTGGCGCGCCCCGCCTCTGCTCGAGGGCGTCTACCAGATGTAGCCTCCATCGTCCGCCTCGCCCGCCTCGCCCTCCTCCTCCTCAGCCTCCTCGCCTACTTCCTCCGGCTCCTTCTCCTCCTCATCCTCCCAGCCGACACCACTCCCAAAGTCCCCGGAGAAGCCCACGATGTCGTCTGTGAGGGGAACAAGCCACTGGGTGGGTCAGGGACCTGCCCGCACCCCCCAGCCTGGACCTCCCACACCGGCCTCCCTGCGCAGGCCCTCACCACAGTCGGGGCTCCCGCGCATGCGCGTGCTGGTCAGCTCCAGGCCCAGCTGGTCCACACACCAGCAGTCGCCGCTCCTCTGGTCACACTGCATCTTCCGGTAGTAGCCGTCCTCGTCGCAGCTCGGGATGAAGCCGCCTGAATGGGACAGAGCCCAGCAGGTCAGAGCAGGGCCCTGGGCGTGGGCTCCTCAGAGAGGCGGCCTCGGAGCCTCAGGCATGGGCAGGAGTCCAGATGCCCCCAGAGCCCAGCCAGACCTGGTACTGACCACCCAACAAGCCCAGAGGCCCAGCGCTGGGCGCTGGCCGGCGCTTCTCCCCGCTCTAGTCACTGGAGATGAGAAACCTGCTTCCTTAAGCGACCAGCTCAGGCCCCTGTGCTGCCCCCCATCTGCCCCCACCATTTCCTCGGGTCTGTGGCCCACGTCTTCTAGGACAGCCAGTCTGATCTCATTGCACTCGATGCCCTTGATCCTAGCACTGCTCCCCAGACCTGGCAGCCCCCTGCCTGGAAGCCCAGTCTTCTCCTCTCAGCCCCTCGGACCGGCCTGCAGGCCACTCTCTTCCACAGGGCCCTGAACTGCTACTCCTCTGTCCACCCAACAGACGTCTTCTGGGGTCACTCTCTGGGGACCTAGAGATGGACTCTGCCCTCGTGGTGGGAAAAGAGACCCACATGGACGATTATAATACCAGGTGCCCAGCTAGCCTGTGCTAAAGGTTTACGAGGCTGGGGACCAAGCCTGTCCTGCCTTCAGCTCTGAGCGGGGCTAGGATTGCTGCTGTCTCTCCAGGGCTGTCATTCGCACGTCTGTCGCCGATGAGCGAGTATCTGCCATGGAGGGGCCTCACTTAAGCTTTACTCAAACGTTGCTGAACTGAATTGAACTGAATGGAGGGTTCTAGGATCCTTCCGTAACCCAACCTCTAGCCCCAGCATGGATGGGCGTACAATTAACACCTAAAACTCACTTACTGAGGGGCAGATTGGGAGACCCTGCTACGTCATACCTGGAGGATAGACCAGGAAGAGAGCTTTCCTCTCCTGTAGTCCTAGGCCAGGGCCTCCTCTGGGCTCGGTGTCTGCCTTAATGCCCAGGGACTGGAGCCCCCCTCGGCCCCTCCCCGAGTGCCCGGTGCAGCCTCACCTATCTTCTTCTTGGCGGCCTCCTGGATCTGGATGCGTTCCAGCTCCGCCAGGCAGGGGGGCTCTGTGGGGAGAAGCAGCCTCTGACAGGGCTGTCCCATGGTGCTGGTGGGACACACTGAGCCCTCCAAGGCTCAGAAACCCAGGCAGGGGCTCTGCAAGATGAAAGCACCCAGCCTCTGACACAGGGCCCTCCACAGTGGGTGGGATGCACCGATCCCTCTGAGATCCCAAAACCGGTGCGGGGACTCTGCAGGGTGAAAACACCCAGTCTCTAATTAGAGGAGCCCACCCCACAGCCAAGGACCACCTGAGGTCCCCAGAAGCCTATGGCTCTCTGAGGGTATTAGGACCCACGGGATGAGTAAACAGGATTCAAAAGAGGAGGTGGGGTGAACACAGACACCCCAAGATGAGAGACCCCGGGGAACATAGACTAGAGGGAATGTTTGGCAGAACTGTCAGGCCTGCAAATGCAGTTGTGCGCCACCTGCTGGCATTTCGGTCAACGACATTTCAGTCAAAGACACATTGCACATGCAACGACGGTCCCATATGGTATTTTTACTGTACCTTTGCTGTGTTTAGATATGTATAGATACACAAATACCACTGTGTTACAGTTGCCTACGGTGCTCGGCGCAGTAACGTGCTGCACAGGTTTGCAGCCTAGGAGGAGCACGCTAAACCACGTAGCCTGGGTGGGCAGTAGGCTACACCATGTAGGTTCGTGTGAGTGCACTCTATGATGTTTGCAGTGACACGATCACTTAAGGACGCATTTCTCAGATTGTATCCTTGTCCTTAAGTGACACATGACTGAAACTGGAAGCCAACCTCTAACTTGTCTGTGACCTTGGGAAGTCCCTGCCACTCCAGGCCTGCCTGATTGTAAAATGAGGGCAGTTCCCAGCTCCCTGCCCAAGAAGGCTGCAGTGGAGAATGATGGAATGGATTCAAAGGCCTGGAAAGGCACCGTGCTGGGGCGGTGCACCCGGTGGAAAGGTTGGGCCATTGGGGGCAGTGAAACCAATCACAATGCCTCACATTTGCAGAGGGATTTGTGAATTACACGGCGCTCTGCACACAGATTTTTCTCAGTTCATCTTCACAACAGTCTCCCAGGGAGGTATTGTTATCTCCCAACTCAGATGATGACACGGAACTTGGAAAGAAGTGGTCACTTGCCCAGGGTCCCAAACTAGCAAATGGTGGAGCCCTGGCCAAAGCGATGGCCCCTGGCCTTGGATGCTGTGCTATTTCCTGTGCTACTTCCAGCACGTGGCAGAGGCAGCGGCCTGGGAGGCAGAGCAGCAGGGCCTACCCCAGCTCTGGCCAGGCAGGTCAGCTGACCCCTCCGGATCTCAGTTTCCCCACTGATGATGACGTTTGCCACTTAGCCTAGATGAATGATCTCTAAGCACAGGTCCAACCCTGGTTCCGGGTACATACAGCTGACAAATGTCACCACATCTCTAAGGCTGATAACCTAGGTAATCACTTATTTGGGGCACAGAACGTGAGATGTGCCCAGAAGTGGGCTGAGCTTCACGAGAAGCAAATGCACCTTCAGCGCTGAGACCCTCACTGCACAGCCCCTTCCTAGGCCCTGCAAGCGATCCTAGAAATTTTACATTTGTCATTTTTCATGCTCTTTCTTAAAGAAGGCCTCCAAAAGTACCTAAGTTTCAGGACCCACAAAATCTGGACCTGTCTCGGAGTCTGCCACGGAAGGGACTTAAAAGTGCCGGCTTCCCTGGGCTTGAGAGATGGGTGGGCCCTGAAGGGTGCAGAAATGGGCGAGCTGGGAAAGCTCTGGGCCCAGGGAGGTGGCCAACAGGGAGCTACTCTGACTCCCAAAGAGACGATGGAGCTCGGGCAGAGCCTGCGCTGGAGGGCTGGGGGCCAGGGAGAGGGGCCACACTCACTCTCCCTCCAGAAGCAGAAGCACCACTCGGCGGTGGACACCCGGCCGTCCTTGTAGGTGTCGCAGGAATTGAAGAAGGGGCGGATGCAGACCTCGTACTTGTCCAGATTGATGGCGGCCAGCTCCGTCTGGTCCAGGAAGAGGTCAGCACTGGTGTCCAGCTTGGAGAACATCCAGCCGATGGAGTCTTTGCAGCTGGCCCCCAGGTTCTTGTCCAGCCCTGGGAGGAGACCAGGATTCAGACGAGCCCCAGCTGCCTGTCCATCACCTCTCCACCCCTCCACCCTGCACCCCTCCCTCAGCCCCAGCCCTCTGTTCAGGGTCAGGGCAGCTTGGAATCTAACTGTGGGGTCGAGAAACTCAAGAATGGCCAGAGGTCCTTCCCTCTGCCCCTCCACAGGACTGCACCTAAACCATCCAATACCCCGTTCTGAAAGCCCTTCTGGAAAATAATTCCTACTTCCCCTTGGCTACCCATTTCAGGGACTAAGCACCCTCCACCTATGCTAAGTTCCTACTGGCTAACCTGTCTCTCTCCTGCCACGGTGGACACTGACCTCCTCTTCATCAAGGGTTAAGGCTCTTTTCAGGCCCCAGATTGCAGGGCCCGGGGTGTGGCAGGAGGGAGCAAGGGCCAGCTGGCACGTCTGTCTCCTCTGCCCCCTCCCCGACTGCCTCCCTCCTCCCAGACAGAGCACCCAGCTTCTGTACCGCTGGCCGGGCTGGCGGCGCTGTTGGCTGAGCCATTCTGCTTGGAGTTCTCATGAAGGAGCTGGAACCAGTCCCGCAGCCGATCTCCCAGGTCGGCTAGGTCCTGACCCGTGCAGGTCTCTGCAGCAGACAGAACAGAGAGGAGGGTGTGGAGGTGAAAGTGGAGCGAAGCAGCAGCACGATCTCTGCCTGGGATCCTGCCCTACTGGCCGGTGGGCTGGGCAGCGGGCAGGGATTCGGGGGTGGGTGGAAATCAGGGGCTTCCCCGCCTTCCTCTCTCCCCAGCCCCCCTTCCTCTCTCCCCAGCCCCGTGTCATCCTCCTCCTCATTCCTTCCTAGCACCAAAAACACACAGCCTAGGCTCCCTGGGCTGAGTCCCTCCCTCCGCCCGCCTTCCAGACACCCAGGAGAGGCCCGGGTGGCCCTGGCAGTGCGCCCCACCACTGCCTGGCTGCGGCCCGCCACTCGCATTACCTGGTTTGCCATCGGCGGTGGAGGTGGCGGCCTGCTCCGTGGGGCAGGGGCAAGGGCCCTCGCACCTCACGGTCAGCTGCTTGCTGCTCAGGCACGCCTGCTGCTCCAGCTTACACTGTGCAGGAAGAAAGGCCGGGCTGGAGGGGCTCACCCCGGGTCCCCGCAGCTGGGGGCACCCTCAAGCCTCCCATGGCAGCCACATCTGCCTTCCCCAGTGGAGCGCCATGAACAGCCTGGAAGGGCCCTCCTAGCCCCACTGCAGGTCAGGGTGCACAGTGTAAGAGGCAGCAGGCCCAGGAAGGGGGTCCCCGGGTGCGGTCCCAGCCATCACAGCACCCCTGAACCCTGCTCTGCCCAGCCTGCCCTCTCGGAACATATGTCCTTCCCAGGACACCCATCCGCCCGCATCCTCCCTCACCCCTGTCGCCCTGTCTGTGGCCTGCCCCCTGCTCTCCTGGCCTGTCCTCCTCCTCACCACGGTCCTTTGGTCCCTGTGTAACCAGTCATTGCCCTCCTTCAGTGGTCTCCCACAGTCACCGTGGGCTTTTCTCAGCTTTCCTGGTAGCAAACAGCCACAGTCTGTTGAACTTCTGCCGACTTCCGGCCTCCCCAAGAGCTGCATGTGCCATGGCCGTTTGACAAAGCCCGTTCCTGAGAGGGGCCCACCCGCTCCTTGCCCTTACAGCCTCTTGCCCTGGTCGTATCTGTTTCTCCCCGTGGGGTGGCCGCTAATGTGAAGCGGGTCGTCACAGCCTTTTACAACATTATCTCACTGGGTCCCCACAGCTGGGAGGGAGGCTTGTGTTTCCCGTGCTCAGCAGAGAGCGTCAGGGCGCAGAGAGGCCCAGTGACCAGCCGGAGGCTGCGGGCTGGGAGGAAAGTCAGACCTCCTGCTGACTCTGCTCCCTGCAGGACAGTGTGACAGCTGCCTGCCCACACCTCACCTTGCCCCATGGGACATTCGCTCTTCTTCTGCCAGCTCTTCCCAGCTCCTTCGTGTCCCTCTCGCCCCTAAATGCAACCTCTCTGGCCTCTCGCTCATTGTCTCTCGCCTCCCTCCCTGCGCCTTGGGTGACCTCATCGTCTGGGTAACTCCAATACTCAGCCAGGGCAGGTGACTCTTAAATCTGCCTCTCAGCACAAAAGGGCTCCTCAGCCCTGGAACCCTAGCCAGCCGTCAGTGTCCTCCAAAACCCAGCGATTCCCAACTCCTGGTTGCTAGTAAACACATTCTTCATTAGCATCTGCATGTCTATGGTACTTTAAAGCTTATAAAACGTTTTCACAAATACTGTCTCATGTAATCCTCACGAAAATCCCGTAAGGTGAGAATTCGTTCTCCCGATCACAGCTCCTGCTAACATCGTCTTCTCATGGGGAACTCCTTTCTCCTGCCCAGAACACCCCCGCTTGCTGGGCGACACCACCACCACCGTGTGGACATCCTGTCTTCACTGCCTCCCAGCTGGACGACAGAACTCCTTCCTTCCGCAGCCCTCGGCACTTTCATGCGGCCCTCACCTCACTCGCTCTGACGTGCAGTTACCTGTCCACGTGCCTCTTCCAGGCCCCCCCCCCCCACCTGCACCTGCCTGAGGTCAGGGACAGGGTCTGGCTCCAATTCTCAGGTAGCCCCAGCCAGGGCTGGCTGTCCCTAGTGTGGCCGGCTGCTTTGAATGCACTGAGCTTGCTGCCTGGCCCCACATCGGTCCTGGAAACCCCTCAGGAGGCCCTGGCTAAGTTGCCCTCTCTGTGCCCCACCCCTGTCCCCCTGAAGCCAGGGCCCCTCACCACCGAGCTGTAAGTGTGACCATCAGAGCCGCAGACGGAGGCGAGCTGGGCCATGTGGCAGGGCTTGCAGTTGGAGTCTCTGTTTCCATGGAATTTCATGGTGGGCTGCTTGATCCTACGGCACAGGGTGGGGAGGACACGGGGAAGGAGATGAAAAGGAGGAAGGGAAGGTTCAGGAGACTCATTCCAGTAAGAAGTGGCCTGGCAATCTACAGCAGATCAGCTCCTCACTGCGCCTGTCCACCCTCCCCGCCACCCCCAGCCAGGCCCTCCTCCAGCTCAGACGGTGGAACCAGCAGGGCAGGCAGAACCTAGCTTCCCTTTGCCAGGGGTTACTGAGTCCAGCGGAGCCTTCAGGTAGCAGCTCCAGGTCTGACCGCAAGAGGTTAAAGGGAGTCACACTACACTCAAGGGATCAGACCAAATCAGAGGTTGCAGACTGGTGGCACCTGGGCCATGCACCTCTGGCCTGCAGGGCCACATTTGGCCACCGAGGGTTGTTGTTTTTTTTGAATCGAGTCATTCACCAACATTCGCAAATTGGGAGAGTTCACATAAAAACCTGGATTCCTGGACTTTCTTGGAAAAATGGAAGATGTGGCAGTCCTGGAGTTGCGTTCCCACATGGCCACCACGGGCCAGTGCCGAGAAGCAGCTGCGCCCCAGCCACTGGGCCTGTGCTCACCAGAGTGGCTGTCCCCAAGTTCTCTTCATGCAATACCTTACCTGCCGGGTCCCTGCAAGCACCTAAGATTGCAACCTCAAGTCTAATCTTTGGTTCAGGAGAGAGGAGAGGGAAACGGGACCTTTTCCAGGGGTCTTGGAGCCAGGAAGGATCTTGTCCTTGGGCTGGAGCTAAGGCCTCCTCAAATGCCCCTCACTCCTTCCTCCTCTATAAGCTACGGCCTCGCAGAAGTCACTGCATGTCAGGGAGGGAAGGACCCTGAAATTATCTAGTCTAATCTATTTGTCTTAGAGATACCAACACCAAGAGGAGATGTGACTTCCCCTGGGTCCCACAGTGTTTGGGTGTGGCTTCCTCTGCGCTTGCTCTCTTGAATGACTCACTTTGGGGGAAGCCAGTGGCCATGCTGTGAGGACACTCAAGCATCCCCGTGGAGAGGTCCACATGACTAGGAACAGAGGCCTCCCACCAACGGCCATGAGCGTGAGCTTGGAAGAGGATCCTCCAGCCCTAGACAACCCTCAAGACGATGCAGCCCCAGCCAGTACCTTGATTGTAACCTCAGGACAGACCCTGAGCCAGAACCATCCAACAGAACCACTTCTGGATTCTTGACCCTCAGAAAGTGTGTGACATAATACATATTTGCTGTTTTAAGCATGAAGTTTGGGGGTAACTTACTCACAGCAATAGATAACTAATTCATAAGGAGAGGGTCAGTCAAGCCCTTGTTCTGTGAACAAACCCCCTCCTGGGCTCCCACGTCCCCAGGTCCCTTACCTGTGCTCCAGCTTCTTGCGGCTGATGCACATGGCGCGCTGGTAGCCCTGGGCGATGCACACCTTGTGGCGGCTACACTTCACCTTCTGGCAGGGGTCCTTGGTGGTGTCCAGGGCTGCAGGGACACAGGGCCAGAACACAGGTCACCTGGGGAACCCAGGAAGCCCCAGCCCTACTTCTGAGCTGGGAGGCCCCTCCCTCCGGCAGCCCTTGATAACTGGAGCTCCTGAGCCATCGGTCCGCTGCTCAAGGATCCGCCAGGGCAAGGGCAGGACTTGCCCTCTGGTCTCCAGTCTTCCCGGCGTCAGTCACCTTTCCCCACCAGGGAAGGGTGTGTTACCTTCATCTCCTTGCTGATTGTCCTCCCAGCTCTTGATGTAGTCATCCTAGAGGGGACAGAGAGTGACAGGGAAGAGGGAAGGGCTAAGATTCATACCCCAGAGGTGCAACTGCAGGGCCAAGGAGGGGAGAGGCCAGGCCACTGCTTCCACATGCAAATTGCTGTCACCCTGGTGGCTGCCTACATGACCCCATCTGCCCTGCCACCTGTCTCCCCCAAACCTCTATCCCGCTACACCCACACCCAGAATCCTTTCCAGCCTCTCTCGTAAGTTCCTTATTCCCCCACACCACGCTGGGTGCTGGCAGGGAAGGACACGGTGGGGGAGGGCCAGGCGGGCACAGGGGTGTGCCCTGCAGAGGCCACACATGGAGAGACAGGCAGTACTCACCTCCACCTCCTGCAGATCAGGAAACAGCAGCAGGCCACAGGAAATGCAGCAGGAGAAAGGGAGAGAGGAGGGGATGTCAGTGTGGGACCCACTGGGGTCCCTTCCCTCACCTCATCATGTGGCTGTGGGTGCAGGACAATGGCCTTTGATGGCCAGGTCCTCTGACCCCTGGGCACTCCAACTGGAGTCCAGAGTTCCTATGTCTTCATCACAGGGAGCCTGAGGCAGGCCTTAGGAGCAGCAGGGACTATGGATTTGAATGGGTGAGGCCCCTCCACCTCCAGCCCAGCCCCAGCCCCACCACCAGGACAGATGTCCGAAGGGCCCGTACTGCCCAGGAACAGCGATTCTCAGGCCTGTGACCTGGGGGTCCCAGAAACACACTTTCTCTCTTCTGCCAAGTTTCCCTCCCTTGGCAGTCCCCTCTCCCAACCCCTGGCCACCACGTGAGTGAGGCAGAGGAAGGCCCTCTCTTCCAGGCTGCAAGGGCATGGTTTTTTTGCGCAAGGTCTGACTTTTCTGCAGAGCTCAGATGGTGCAGTGAGCAAAGGGGGAGGCGACGCCAATGATGACGGCGTCCCCTGCCCTCAGGGTCCAGTTTCAAACCCTCAGAGTCAGAGGATCCTGAAGAGGCCCTACAAGGTCACCTAGTCCAGCCCCCTCTGCGTGCAGGAGAGGTCAGAAAGCCCAGAGACAGGAAATGACCTGACCCAGGGTCCACCATCCGAGAACCCAGGTCTCCCGACACCCAGCACAGACCCCTTTTCTCGCTATAACACACTGTCTCCAAGACCTACAGCACAGGGAAGACCTTCTCGCCCTGCTCTGCCTACAGGGGCTTCCATGTGCCTGTGGACCCCAGAGTGGTCAGAGGCAGAGCGCCTCCCAGCTGACCTAGCTCCCTGGCATAAAATCCCAACTTGTCTGGCTTTTCCTCCCTTTCCCCTATGGGGTGGAGACAGGTGCTAAAAGCCACTGAACAGCTCCCAGGGCACTCCTGGTGGAAGCTCTCCCAGGCAGGCAGGAAGGGGACTTCTCAGGACTGGAGGCTGGCAGTGCTAAGGAGCCAGCTGCCAGTTTCCTTGGCGTGGGGCTCTAGGAGGGGGTCTGGGAGCTGGGGGTAGAGGGTCATGAGAAGCCACATGCAGCTGCCTCCCTCATACTGAGGACCAGAGATGTGCCAGGGTAGGGGGCAGAGGTCACTCGTGGGGTGGGGTGGGCAGGGGCTAGACTCTTAGCTGTCAGGTCTGGGGGAAGAGGGCATGGAGCTCTGGCACCAGAGGGCACGCACATGCAGGCAGCAGTGGGCACACAGGGGGGCACCCACAGGGCTTTGACAGTCCCAGGGCTCTGGGCTGGAAGTTGGCACGCATCTGAGCAGGCAGGGGCAGGGGCCTCCTGGGGCCAGGGCGGAGCAGGCAGTTGCCATCACCACTGAGGGAGATGCGCCGTGTACAGGCATGTACCTGAGTGTGTGCTTCCGCGCATGTGCGAGCATTCAAGTAGACCCAGGTGCACGCACGCTCACGGGTCTGCATTACACAGCATGTGTGTGCACAGGTGCATGTGTGCGTGTGCACACGTCCTCATTTATGCATGTGTGCACATACGCACACACGTGTACAGCAACAGTAGGGAAACAAGGACACTTTGAGGCAGTTCACCCAATGCCAGATGGTTTCTATCCAGAAACGAAGTAACAAAACCCACTCTGTGAGCAGCCTCCAGTTTTCACACTCAGGCGCCACGGCCCTCCCTCCGGGTGAGGGCAGCGAGAGGTGGCAATAGGAAGAGGGAGGACAGGAGAGTAGCAGATGTCTCCACGCAGGTCTGGCTGGTGCTGGCTCTGCTCTCTCTGCAGCACCTGTTTTCATGTGCATCTCTTTGTGCGTGTCTCTCCTCCCCATCTCTCTCGCTTAGCCTCTCTCCCTACCCCTTCGCTCTGCCCACACCTGGCCCACTCGTACACGTCCAAGCAGCCAGGTGTCCTCAGCCCTTGGGCCTGGGGGCAGGCAGAGAAAGGGGCCCATCTGAGCCCCTAGCTGAGGCTCCCACCCAGTTCCGCAGGGCTTGATCTGAGCCCTCCTGAGACCGCTGGGAGAGCTTCGGAGGGGGCTGCAGGCACAGCTTCCCTCGTTTGCCGAGGCCAAGGGAAGCTGGCTCTAACTCAGCCCCTCTGCTCCAGGAGCTCCTCGGGGTGCAGGGTCCTCCGCCTGCTGTCCACCCCACCACAGATGGGACATGGAGGCCAGGAGAGGTCAAGTGGCTAAGGCCAGGGGTACAAAGTTTGGGGCAAATGGCTTCCATCAAGCTGGGGTCTTTCCATATGCTCCCATCATTCCCTGGGATAGGGTGGGGATGGGTGACAAACAGGACAGGGAATATGGCTGCGTTTGGGGAGGTTTGAGGAGGCAGTGTGAGTCACCTGCCCTCAACCAACAAGATCTGTGCCCCACAACCCACCCACACCAGAACTGGAGCAGGGAGGCCTGGCCCCTGCTCCGGGCTCTTCTGGCCCCTGGCACCAGCTGAGGGCCGTGGTGCCTGCTCACTGCCACACTCCTGCCCGACCCTGCCACCTTAACTTCACCTAGGCTGTGAGCAGAATCTCTGGGACTCAGTACAGAGTGGGTCCTCAAAGGTCAAGACCAAGACTTTCTGATCAGAAATTCCAGGGAAAGTGGGGGTAGGGGGTGAGACTGCTAAGAAAGGGGCTTCCCAGCAGCTTCACCGTCCCCCAAACTCCAAGCGAGGGTTAGGCCCCCTTCCTGACACGTTTGCAGGGTGGAGCCCTTCTGTGCAAAGCGCCGTCCTAGGTTCTGGCTACAGCTCTGCCTCCCCGTGGCTGTGCTGTGGTGGGTGGGGTGGAGGGAGGCCTCTGCATTCTAGATTCCGGGTCCTCCACTTCCGGGAGAGCAAAGTAGCCAGCCAGAGAGAGGGATGAGGAGGGGAGGGCCTGGGGGTCCCACAGATCCCCACGCTGCCCCTAACCGGCGCACCCTAGGCAAGCATCCTGCCTTCTGGGAGCTCTGCACCTATCTCCTGGGAAGTGGGGTGCCTGGGGTCCAGGAAGCACTCGACAAGTGCTCTGACAGGAGAAGAGACCGTGGACTGTGGGCAGAGAAGATGCGGGAGAGAGACACCACATGAGGAGTCCCAGGAGAGTGGAGAAAGAGAGAGACCACCGTGGGGAGAGCAGAGACCAGTGGGGGTATGAGCAGAGTCAACCCTCAGCGGTGTTAGGGGGAAGGGTGACAAGGAAGCCCTGTAGGCAGCTTGGGAATGGCCATACTGGGGGCAAAGCCCAGGGACACACGTAGGGGCCCCTAGGGTCAGGCGTGGGCTGGCGCCATTTGTAACCTGAAAAAGAGGTGTTTGTTGGCAAGTGTGAATAATGCTTTTCAAGGCGAGTGTGGTGTCTATTTATGGCACCCACGTGGGCTCATTAGCCATTGTGAGAAATGGTCTGATAAGGGCACTGGGGTCTTCCTAGGAAGTGGGAGGCCTGATTCTACGCTGGCTCTGCAGCCAACCTCACCTGCAAAATGGGCATTTGGAAGAGCCCATCTCTAGTGCTCTAGAGCAAGGGCCAGACTGGAAGGGAGACAGGTACAGGCTGAGACCCAAAGTTCTAGGCTAAAGGAAAAGCGTGCATATTTCACCTAGTTAGCACAAGGAGCTCTTACCACAGAGCAGACAGGTGAGAAAAACTTCTAGAATTTACAAATGCACTGTGGCTTGTATTGAATGGTGCTTTTAAAGTAGATCCCCTCCAAGTATTTCTATGGGTCTGTCTTCCTTTTATCCTCACAATCCTGTGAAGTGGGCAGAGCCAATAGGATCTACACCATAAAAAATGAGAAAATTGGCCAGGTGCAGTGGCTCTAAGAAAGGGGCTTCCCAGCAGCTTCGCCGTCCCCCAAACTCAAACTCCCCCAAACCTTAATCCCAGCACTTTGCGAGGTGAAGGTGGGAGGATCACTTGAGGCCAGGAGTTCTAAATCAACCTGGGCAACATAGCAAGACCCTGTCTCTACAAAAAATTTAAAAATTAGCCAGGCATGGCGGTGCAGTGCACCTGTAGTCCCAGCTACTAGGGAGGCTGAGGCAGGAGGATCACTTGAGCCCAGGAGTTAGAGGTTGCAGTGAGCTATGATCACACCACTGCACTCCAGCCTGGGCAACAGAGCGAGACCCAGTCTCCAAAAAAAAAAAAAAGTTAACACCTTTACCGCAATTACCATGTGGGCAGCATTGTGCTAAGCACTTTACATTCATTGCCTTGTTTCCTCTTCACAACTCTAAGAGAACATTACTATTATTATTCCCATTGCTCAGATTATAAAATTGAGGCTCAGAGAGGTTAAGTGACTTATATGCAGGCTCACACAGGAATTGCACAGAAGAGTATTGGCATCCAGAACTGATTCCAGAACCCGTGCTCCTAACCAGGACTCCATAAATGTCAGCTGATGAAGAAAGTCCCAGGCCAGGGTGAAACCAGAAGGCCCAATCCCAACCTATGGGTGGTTTCTCTACCATACCAGCTCTACCTTAACCCCTTGGCAGGAAGTCCTGCAGCCAGGAGAGGAGGGACTGGCAGTGGATGGGGAATACACCTGGGAGGCCCCTTTCTCCAGGCGCTTTCCAGAAACCCCTCCACATGCCCCTGGTTCGGCTGGTTTGGAGCTAACCCATCTCCAGCTTTGATCTCTGCGGCTCAGCTCAGTTGCCATGGAGACAGGGCCCACTGCGCAAGCTGGGGGAGATGATGAGTGCGCAGGCCTAGCCGGGCTTAGGGGGCACATGCTGGGTGTTTCCAAGCGCTGTTTACTTCCTGTCATTTTAATTAGCACCCAAATCGCCCGCTCACTTCACAGCTTGAATTAACCCAATATCTCCCAGCCTCTCCATCTGGTGGGAAGGATGGGACACAGCAGTGAAACAGGGAAGGAACAGCAGCCCTCCAAGCCCCGATTTACTGCGGTTAAAAACCCACCGCGGACAAA